ATACTTTCGCAAGGCACTGTATATGGGGCATGACAGCTGTCAATAATATGCATGTGTATTAGTCTATGGTTGTACATACGTAAATAACTTGTACACAAAGTACGACATGTTGTTGTTATTGTTTGGTACCGAACAGTTTTCATTAAGCAACAGGCTTTGAACGCATGCACAGTTTATGGAGTCAATGTATCTACTGCTCACTGCACTATGCCTGTGACCCCATGATGTATTTTTGACAGTCAGGTCACTGTAGTAAATTTATATTCATATTAAGGAAAACACAAATGTTAAGTTTTCACTTCATATTTGTAATTTTTGAAGTTGTAACTTTTTAAACTCACTTCTCATAGACAAAACACACACTCATTTTATATGATTTGACTTATACAAGAGTTTACCAAAAACAAAGTTTTGTGTGCAGCTTATTATTTTATGCACAGCCTTAGATTAACATACGTGCATATTATTGACAGCTGTCCTACCTCATGGGTATACTAGTGGATATCACTGTATGCACTTTCTTAGCATACATGGAGGCCTCGTGTTGGTATAGACACAACAGTTTTTTCCCCAGTAAAACTCATAACTTTAAAATTATCATACTGATTGTTAATCTTTCATGGGCTGGTGTTTGTGATTAGATTGGATCTCTGAAAATACTGAGAAAAATTAGTAACAACGTGCAAATCTGTCGGACCACTGTTGAAATGGGAGGCCTGCGGTGCATTGTGAAGATTCTCGACTCACCAGTCAAGGAGCTCAAGGCCTTAGCTGCTGAGACCATCGCCAATATAGCCAGGTTCCGCAGGGCAAGGAGAACTGTCAGGCAATATGATGGTATCAAGAAACTGGTGAGTATAAGCACAGAAAAATGTAACTGCAGTTTAGTGTAATATGATCTCCATTCCTACTAACATGAGGTGTAGCAGTATACAAAACTACAGACCAGAGACTGATATTTCTGTATTGGTATTACTGTAATGTTGTTATATCCCATCCTGATTGATTTTCCATTAAAACAGTTGTCTGTTTATATCTATGCCTGCTTAAAAAAGTATGTTTTTAAGGCCGACCTAAAGGCCACTAGCTCACTTTCAGCCCTTAATTCTCCTGGAAGAGCATTCCACAGTCTGGGGCCGTAGATAGAAAAAGATCAGTCGCCCCATTTTTTGTAGCGGAAGCGCGGCACCGCCAGCAACAAATGATCAGTGGAGTGAAGAGCTCTATGCGGCACATAGACAGACAGCAGGTCAGATAGGTAGGATAGGGCGAGACCATGAATAGCCTTAAAAACAAACAATAGGATCTTAAATTTAATTCTAAAATGGATCGGAAGCCAATGAAGAGCACGAAGAATCGGGGAGATATGGGCAAATCTGGGAACACTGGATAGCAGCCGAGCTGCTGCATTTTGGACCAATTGTAATTTCTGAAGCAAAGTCTGAGGTACTCCTACATACAAAGCATTGCAATAATCTAACCGTAAAGTAATAAACGCATGAATAGCCTCTTCCAGATCTCCATGTGACAAAAAAGGTTTAACCTTCATTAAGAGTCTTAGCTGAAAAAAAACAAGACTTAACTACTGCCCTAATCTGTTTCTCAAAAGTAAAACCACTATCAAAAATTATTCCGAGGTTTTTCACTGTGTCAGATAGAGGGAATACTGAGGTGCAGAGGTTGACTACATCTGGCGGCGGGTCAGAACTAAAAAGAATGTATTCGGCCTTACTCTCGTTCAAATGCAGAAAATTTAGCGCAAGCCATTGCCTAATATCTCGAATGCAATTTTGCAACGGGGTAAGAGCATTGGAGTCAGATAGGAGCAGTGGCATGTAAATCTGGACATCATCAGCGTAAAAGTGAAATGAACGTTATGGCTAGCTATAATTGCCGCAAGGGGTGCAATATATAATGAGAAGAGCAATGGAGCCAGGGTAGAACCTTGAGGAACGCCTGAAGTGAGAGGAGCTATATTAGAGACACAATCACCAATACTGACCGAAAAAGTTCGATCGGTTAAAAGAGAAGAAAACCAGTTTAAGGCAGTGCCTTTAAGCCCAACAAAATGTTCAATGAAATGTATATGTAACTCTTCAGTACTCAACAACAGAAAACATGTTGGAACCTTTGGCAAAAGAGAATGATGTTTTATTGTGATGTACCGCAAATTATGTTTACGATTTATTTCTTTAATTGAAGTGTACATATATCCAACCTTTGGCTAACTCTCTTGATGTAAAGCAAATCAGGCACCAACCCATGGTCTTTTCACTTTGTACAGCTGGTAGCCCATCCACTTATGAAAAAAAAAAAATCCCAGAATGGCAACTGGAGTAAAACCGATGTCCCTTACGTCCTCTGACCTCCATTCATTCATTCATTTGGTGAGGGACATGTGATGAAAACCTTCATGAGTTTCCTCAGGCCCAAAAGGGATGTTCTCATTTGCAAGTCACTCACAAAGGCAGATTAATTTAATGCTGTGCTATGAGTCCACCTTTGAACTGTGCAGTGTATAAAAGCTTTGCCTGTTCTGTCTCACTGGCCAGGAACTATAGATTAGAACACAGAATGTTGGCCATATACCTTCACACTGCTTTTCAGGCATAACATTAACATCTAGCCTGACAGTTTTCCACTTCTAGCATTTCTGGATTTTTCATCCTCACAGACTCAATGGTAGTTCAATTCTTATTACACCCTTAATCACAGCCAACCACTTGCTATTCCCATTTGGAGCAATTCTGCAAGCAAACCTTGCAGTCCTAGAATTTATCTCAAGTTTGTGTAAATGTGTGTATAGGGGTTTTCTGCCTAAATACATGTGGTCTGTCTACCTGTCTGTACACAGTTATGTTTGTGTGTATACACATGTATGTTTGTGTACTTTGTCTCCCTTCTCAGGTGAAGCTGCTGGACTGTGTCCCTAATTTAACCCGCCTGACTGCCGACCAGGAGAAAGATGTAGATGTGGCCCGCTGTGGAGCTTTAGCACTGTGGAGCTGCAGCAAGAGCACCAAAAACAAGGAGGCCATCCGTAAGGCTGGGGGAATCCCTTTGCTGGGACGTCTGCTTAAGTCTCCACATGAGAACATGCTTATCCCTGTGGTGGGTACGCTGCAGGAGTGTGCCTCAGAGGTGAGGTGGGACTGTATGTTTGATCTGTGTGTGTGTGTGTGTGTGTTAGTTTGAGCCTGATGAATGCGAGCTGTGTGCGTCTGTGTTTGCATGTGCAAGCATCTGCTTCTACTTTTAAGTAAGGTGTAGTCTTGATAATATTGCTTGTAGCTTGAACTTTGACTCAGTAATGCATGAACTAGTCTCCTATTTTACCAGTTAAGGGGAATGTAAATTTTTGATCTACTTATTGTTGTGAAAGTGTGTTAAGACATCGTAGTAAAAGCCTTATGGCAGCTTCAAGTTCACTTTCGGAATTGTCAAACCTTTAGTTTATTAACTAAATAACAACTGTTATGATGTCCATGCATTTTTAGTCTCAGGCTTTTATTTTGTTATACTTCTATATTGTGAAAATGCAAATTAGTTTATTTCTCAAAATAATCCACTCAATTCCAAGTTTAATCCAGACAGTAAACCAGGTCTGGATCAAAGAACAGGTCCTAAATATAATAAAATAAATGTTATAATCTAGATCTGGTCCAATGTGGTCAGGATGGAGAAAAAAGTACTAAATTACCACTTTTGGTTTTCACAAATAGAATGAAGGTTTCTCAAATTTGAAACATTGTTGTTTTTGGAGTAAGTTGTTAGTCAAGTCGAGATGTGACAAATGTATACAGTCGCAAGAAAAAGTAATGGCACTGTTTGTAGTTTCCTGGTGTATGTGGTGGTTACAAGATGCACTTAGTCTTATTGTTGTCTGAAAGAAGAAAATGCATTGAAATCACAGTTGTTTTGTTTTCAGATAAAATTAAGATTTCATAAATCTGAAAGTGGGTTTTAGGTTGTCTCAGTGACTTCATGTAATCCCAGACTGCCTTCATGATGTTCAGATCAGGGCTCTGTGGGCTCAGACAGTTTGTCACAGGGCTCACAGTTCTTCTTGACTCTGAATATTATTCTTTATGACTCTGCGGTTGTTGTTGTGCTGCAGAATGAATGTTAGACCAATCTGATGTAACGTGTGATTGATAAGAATCTAAAGATCTAAAATGCTAGTATTGTGTGTTTTAAAGGAGACTTTGACATGCAGGAACCTTCTAGTCTAGGGAGTGATTTCCATTTGACCTACCAGCTTGATGTTGCTGAAAATGTCCTGGAAATATCCTGGTAAATACATTCTTGAAATGAGTGGGAACAATGAAAAGGTCCCCAGTGAATACAGTGACACAATGCAGTGCCCAGCTGATTTAGACTCATTGCTCAGTTGTTATATTATGTTATATTTCAGAAGGGATGGATGGGGCTGTGTGCCCCTGCCAGAGTAGGAATAAAGAATTGAGAGACCATTGTTTGCAATCTTCTTGTTGCATTTATTGACAGTATACAATAATAGCAGCCTTATCCATTAAACTGTGATAAAGTAATTGAAAGGTCTAAAATATTTGCAGAAGGGTGGTGGTACATACTGTATATGACATAATTTAGATTATTCATGTTTATGTGATTCCTTAATTGTTGTGTCACCACAGGGAAGCTACAGGATTGCCATTCAGACAGAAGGCATGATCAAGGATTTGGTCAAAAACCTAAGCAGTGACAATGATGAGCTACAAATGCATTGCGCCAGTGCTATCTTCAAGGTACCAGTTTTCCATATTCTCTGTTTAAAAAAACAATTAAATAAACTGTAAAAGAGGATATGGAACGAAACAATTTTCTGAAACATCATGTTCTCCTAATTATACCAAGACTCTAAAGGAATTAATGTAGATCTTGATCCTTTCTTTTGCTTTGCAGTGTGCAGAGGACCAGGAAACCCGTGACCTGGTCCGTAAGTACAGAGGGTTGCAGCCACTGGTTTTACTACTGGGCAAGGCAGAGAACAAGCAGTTACTGGCTGCTGCCACTGGGGCCATCTGGAAGTGCTCCATTAGCATGGAGAATGTGGCTAAGTATGACTGGTCTCAGGGTCTCATTAACAAATATGGAATCACACAACCAAACCTAGCATATCAGGGATACAGAAACACATTGTAGTGATATCTTATGAATGACTGTTTATAATTAATTAATGTAATTTATGGTAACAGATTAGTATGGCTGTAATTGATCACTTACTGTACATAGGCTTAGTAGTCTAATGGGCCTCAATGTAGAAGGAGGTTAATATTGATTAAGCATTTCACCCATGTGTGCCCATAACTTTAGGAAAATATGTTTGCTGTGGTTAACAGTAGCCTTACAGTACGAATACAATAATAGCACCAGTAGATACAGAGCACAAGGGGTTCAGCCAACTTGCAAGCATTAGTGTCACATTTGTTACTTTTATGGGAGCTCTCATTCATTCATTACTAGATGTGTCATTTTCCCCCTCACATGATATGATATCTCCTTTTCATTAACCACTGTGTATGGTTGAGGTGACTGCATAAAATGTAATTCTGTAGCTCTGGTTGACTCATGGACATCTTTGAACCAAACATAGGCATACTGAAAGAATCAGCCTTGATATGATGAGTTTCTAATGTGAGGAGACATAAGCTGACAGGGTTTTTAATCATTTGTCATGTAAAGCAGAGGTTTATTAAGTGCCATTTAGTTTGGTTCCTTCAGCAGTGACATTTCTGGAATGGTTTTTGACTTGCACTTTAGTGTCAGATGATCTTTACATCAGTAATTTTCCCTCTAGAATAAATGACTGTGTCCTGGCAGCCCCATACATTTCCTCCATTGCTCCCCTGAAAGAATGATTTAGCTGTATTTATTTTCTTATTCAATGTGAGGCCGGGGACATAATATATAAGACACATGCAGTGATTTAATACCTTGGTAAAATAATCAAATCGAAAATTATTCTCTTCAGTAAAGCCAAGAAAATGATAAGACAATGTATTTTAAAAAAAATTTATGATGGAGTGTTTTAAAGTTTAAGGATTTTCACTGAGGTGAGATTATGTGAAAATGGTTTTATTCTAACTCAGATTGCAGTGAAATTCTAAGACTAACAACAATAATGTAGTTTTTCTCCCTCGCTACTGGTCAAAACTGAGTGACTTTTCACATAAACCATTATAAAATAACATTTTCACTTTATTGGCTCTAGTAAAGTATATACAGTATAACAAGAATGAATCAGAAATACAGCAGTTTGCCTCAGTGTCCTTTAGTTTTTCTGTATCATTGCATAGTAATTAACAGTACTTGTGAAAAATTAAAAGTTGGCTGCAAAATAAATAAATAAACAGATAAATGAATAAATAGTAATATAAAGCACTAATATTTATTTATTTATTTAGTCATTTATCTATTTATTTTGCAGCCAATTTCAGGTCCGCTCAGCGCGACCTGCCTCTCTTCTGCCTTTCTCTCTCCTGCTCGCTCTTTTTGCAGGATCAGCGCCTCAGCTGTGTTGCATTTTGTAATTAGTGACTTGTTGGTTGTCGCGCACAGCTGGGGTGCATTACTGTAAGCACCCTCCTACATTATTTATACCTCTGGCGGACGCTCCGCCGTCGCCGGAGCATTAACGTGCATACCCCGTAACAGCCCTATAGTCATGGTATGTATTTGTACATCATTTTGTTTTCTGTGCTTACAGTTCCTGTGCTGTGGATCGCATTTTTTTCCCTGTGCTGTGGATTTCCGTTTTCATTCGCCTACCCACCTGTCTAGCTTGCTTCTTCACCTGTCCGTCCTGTTCCTCCTACTCCTGTTTTTTTTTTTTTGCTGTTAGCCTGTCTTTTACCCTGGTTATCCCGGTCTCCTCCACCACCTCTGCCCTACTTTGCTTATATATGTACATTGCCCTTATGTAGTTACTTTGTGTTTTTGTCTCATTAAACCTCCTTTTTTTAACTAGCACCTGGGTCGGCATTCTTGAGTCCTATCTCAGTTTTCCCTCACCCTCCTGGTGAGGGGGACTAAACCATAACAGCCAACTTTTAATTTTTTACAAGTACTACCCCGAAGTGGGGGGCTAGTGGGGGGATTTATATATATATGAGTGACCAAGCTAAGATCCTGTGGGACTTCAAGATACAAACTGACAAATTGGTAATGGCCAACCAACCGCAATTTTTTTTCAGTGGGTAACACCACCGACTTTGGTACAGAAGGTCGGGGGTTCGAACCCCGGTCAGGGCATAGTCAATATTCCGCCTGGGTCCTTAGGCAAGGCCCTTAATGCTACCTGCCTACCTCATCGGTAATGACAGTTGAAAAAATAAGAGTCACATCGGCTCGGATGTCACCCGGGTCAACAAGGTCAGGTGTTGGGGAACCAGGGCAACCTGATGAGAACTGGAACAAGACATTAATGGACGGGGGCTTCCGGTCGATGGTGGTATGGCGCAGACGTGACGTGTGAGAGCTCCTGTGTGCTTCACTCTTCTCTCATTCATTTATAGCCATACCTTGCAGACGGAGTAGCTACCTTTGCACTTTTTTTTT